AATTTGTACCAAACTCGGTGTGGTTATTGTGCTTGCCACATATAAGCAAAACGTTGAAAATTATTGAAATCGGACTAAAATAACGGCCGCTTCTCATATAACGGTAAATTTCAGAAATGCTTGAAACTTCAATATTTCGAAATTGAAGGACGCTAATTTACTCAAAATTGATACACCCCGGCTTACCATCTAGCGGAAGGTTTCGGAAAGGTGAAAAAACATATTTAATACTTGCGCCGGGTATTTAATGTTCGGCTCCGCCCGAACTTAGACTTTCTTACTTGTTTTTTTATAAATTTTTGTTCGTTATTTACGATTCTGATTTTTTCGATAAATTCATATGTTATGTTGGAGACTGCGTGTTTAATGCCGATTTAAACCTTTTATGATCTAAAAAATTAAATCTGAAAACAACAGTTATAATATAAGCAAAAAAATAAAAATCAAAAATAACGATTAAAAGTTTATTGAAAAAGTAAAATTCCAAAAATAAATATTCTTGATCGAATTAATAAAAATCATGAAATAACGGTTAAATTTCATAGAAAACCTGTAAGTTATAGGCAAAAAACAAAACCGACTTCTGGCGAATTGATAACTTCCTTTTTTAGAAGTAGGTTAAAAAACTAAAAATATGACGTGATATCCTTTGAATCCGTTCACAGGACTGATTGCATTTTCTTGCTGGCATACTTTTGCAAATTTTCGCGTCAACTCTATCCGCCTCCGCACGTTTCTGTGTATTGCTGTCGCAATAAAATGCAAGACTTAAACTCCCATTGAGCATGAAATTCCAGCACAGCTTCTTCCTTCGCCGCCAAAACGAAGCGTAGCGCATCAAGTTGCAGTCAACACACAGCCACCAATACACATACAATACATACAAGAGAATGAATTAATAATGGTATTAAAAATAATGTAGCATTTGAAACCTTAACAGGTTTAGGCCGAGAAGAGCAATATGATTTTTTATAAGTTTCTAAATCTATCTCAAACAAATTAAATTCATAAAAAACTATTTTATAAAAAGTTGCAATGTATTCTTAGGCACTAAAAATGGTAATGCTATTAGATTTCCTCTTGCATGCTTGAACTAAACCCGCGACCGCTAAGCGCTATGCCAGCACACAAGTACTTGGCTAAAGCAAACACCAAACTTTAATATGCTCGCACGTTTGCATATGCAATTCACACCATACACACATACATACAAACACCAACTCTACTTATTTCTATAGTAGCACCAAAGTAAATTTAATATTTCACTGCGTTTGTGCACTTCCGCGCTTGTGAATGCACACTTTTTCTCCGATTTCATTTCTATGCTCTCTCCCGCTGTTTGGAGTAAACAGGATAATTACGACAATGTTAAATGCAGCGATAAGAATGCGTTCACAATTTGACGCTGAATTCATGGCACTTACACGCCAACTGTTTTGCGAAGTTGCATCTTCATGTGGGGTTGCTGGGTGTCAGCGGATTCGGCGACAACTTTGTCGGTGCATTGACTCGCTGTGAAATGTGAAATTCGCATGGATTTGCGTGGATTTGACTTAATTTAGTCATAAAACAAATTATTTTATTTCAATTACTTAGTGATATTTTTTGCTAAGCTTCTTCCCTCCTCTCAGAATTGGATAAACTGCCAACCAAGTGGCACTAAATCGCTATCATTGTTTGTATTCGGAATGCTATGTTATTTGTATGATTTTTTCCTTCTATGATTTTACAGATCTGTCACCAGCAATCGCCTGCGTTGGATAAATGAAACAGATTTGCCTAGAAATTTACAAACGCTAGATTTTCGCGCGAATCCATTGTCGTTAATAATGCCGAGAGCATTGCGTGGCATGGCGAGGTTGCGTAAATTGTGAGTATAAGAAAATTATGATAAAATATGTTTTGCAAAATGTTGTTTAAATCTCTAAGCGTAAAAATGCTTTTAAATAACTTTTTTAAAATTTTTTCGTTTCCTATTTTCGACCAGAATTCTTTCCGATGTACGTGCACTCAAAGTATTTCCCGATCTTGAAGGCTGTTTCTCATTAGAGATTATAAAATTGGATCGTGCCGGTATTAAAGAAGTGCCATCAAACCTGTGTCGTCAAACACCAAGACTGAAGAGCTTGTAAGTAAAAAAAAAAAAACAAGTGTTCCTTTATGATTATATTTTAATTAATCATTACAATTTCTTATAAATTCATTGCAGAGAGCTTAAAACTAATTCCTTAGTGCGCATTCCCAACTTAGCTAATTGCAGAGAATTAAGACTGTTGTAAGTAGCAGAGAAAAAATTGCAGAAAGGTTAAAAATAATATCCCTAGAATTATTCAAAGATAAAAGTTGTAATATGTGTGTATGTATGTATGTGTGTACATTAGGGCGGGTCAACTTTTTTTTTTTTACTTTGCGCGTATAAACAGCATAGGAGTATTCTGCGTGTAATTCTAAGTAAATTTGCCTAAGAAACCTTGGGTCTAAAATCAATTTGGAGCAGAAAATGGGAAAATATCACTATTGCGCCCACTGATGGAAGTATAAGTGCATAAAAGGATTCCTCATGGCAAAAACCCCTTATGGCATGTTTTTATACAAACAGCAAAATGCTACGTATACATATTTTCTCACTTTGGTAAACTCCAAATTTATTTTAGACCCATGGATTCTTCGGCAAATTTGCTTTGATTTACACGTCGAATCATTCTGTGCTATAAGCGCGCAGTCGAAGAAATAACCCACAAAAATTTACCCGCCCTAATATACTTACATAGATATATGCATTCAAAAATGTAAAAATAATTTTTTTTTTTTACCAGAGATCTTTCGAGTAATCACATAGAATCGCTCGGTGGGCGACCCTTCGTCGGCTTAAAGCAACTTCATGATTTAGTGCTCTCTTACAATCGCATAAAGGCGATACCACAGGATGCCTTCTTCGGCATTCCGCGACTGCAGTTGTTGTAAGTAGCCAGCAAATTATTTTAATTATTTGATTGCTAATTTCAATAACAACACATTTCTTAAAAAAAAACCTAGAGGCCCAAAATAAATGAAACTGAAATATCTCCTCTCCTCTCCTCTCCTCTCCTCTCCTCTCCTCTCCTCTCCTCTCCTCTCCTCTCCTCTCCTCTCCTCTCCTCTCCTCTCCTCTCCTCTCCTCTCCTCTCCTCTCCTCTCCTCTCCTCTCCTCTCCTCTCCTCTCCTCTCCTCTCCTCTCCTCTCCTCTCCTCTCCTCTCCTCTCCTCTCCTCTCCTCTCCTCTCCTCTCCTCTCCTCTCCTCTCCTCTCCTCTCCTCTCCTCTCCTCTCCTCTCCTCTCCTCTCCTCTCCTCTCCTCTCCTCTCCTCTCCTCTCCTCTCCTCTCCTCTCCTCTCCTCTCCTCTCCTCTCCTCTCCTCTCCTCTCCTCTCCTCTCCTCTCCTCTCCTCTCCTCTCCTCTCCTCTCCTCTCCTCTCCTCTCCTCTCCTCTCCTCTCCTCTCCTCTCCTCTCCTCTCCTCTCCTCTCCTCTCCTCTCCTCTCCTCTCCTCTCCTCTCCTCTCCTCTCCTCTCCTCTCCTCTCCTCTCCTCTCCTCTCCTCTCCTCTCCTCTCCTCTCCTCTCCTCTCCTCTCCTCTCCTCTCCTCTCCTCTCCTCTCCTCTCCTCTCCTCTCCTCTCCTCTCCTCTCCTCTCCTCTCCTCTCCTCTCCTCTCCTCTCCTCTCCTCTCCTCTCCTCTCCTCTCCTCTCCTCTCCTCTCCTCTCCTCTCCTCTCCTCTCCTCTCCTCTCCTCTCCTCTCCTCTCCTCTCCTCTCCTCTCCTCTCCTCTCCTCTCCTCTCCTCTCCTCTCCTCTCCTCTCCTCTCCTCTCCTCTCCTCTCCTCTCCTCTCCTCTCCTCTCCTCTCCTCTCCTCTCCTCTCCTCTCCTCTCCTCTCCTCTCCTCTCCTCTCCTCTCCTCTCCTCTCCTCTCCTCTCCTCTCCTCTCCTCTCCTCTCCTCTCCTCTCCTCTCCTCTCCTCTCCTCTCCTCTCCTCTCCTCTCCTCTCCTCTCCTCTCCTCTCCTCTCCTCTCCTCTCCTCTCCTCTCCTCTCCTCTCCTCTCCTCTCCTCTCCTCTCCTCTCCTCTCCTCTCCTCTCCTCTCCTCTCCTCTCCTCTCCTCTCCTCTCCTCTCCTCTCCTCTCCTCTCCTCTCCTCTCCTCTCCTCTCCTCTCCTCTCCTCTCCTCTCCTCTCCTCTCCTCTCCTCTCCTCTCCTCTCCTCTCCTCTCCTCTCCTCTCCTCTCCTCTCCTCTCCTCTCCTCTCCTCTCCTCTCCTCTCCTCTCCTCTCCTCTCCTCTCCTCTCCTCTCCTCTCCTCTCCTCTCCTCTCCTCTCCTCTCCTCTCCTCTCCTCTCCTCTCCTCTCCTCTCCTCTCCTCTCCTCTCCTCTCCTCTCCTCTCCTCTCCTCTCCTCTCCTCTCCTCTCCTCTCCTCTCCTCTCCTCTCCTCTCCTCTCCTCTCCTCTCCTCTCCTCTCCTCTCCTCTCCTCTCCTCTCCTCTCCTCTCCTCTCCTCTCCTCTCCTCTCCTCTCCTCTCCTCTCCTCTCCTCTCCTCTCCTCTCCTCTCCTCTCCTCTCCTCTCCTCTCCTCTCCTCTCCTCTCCTCTCCTCTCCTCTCCTCTCCTCTCCTCTCCTCTCCTCTCCTCTCCTCTCCTCTCCTCTCCTCTCCTCTCCTCTCCTCTCCTCTCCTCTCCTCTCCTCTCCTCTCCTCTCCTCTCCTCTCCTCTCCTCTCCTCTCCTCTCCTCTCCTCTCCTCTCCTCTCCTCTCCTCTCCTCTCCTCTCCTCTCCTCTCCTCTCCTCTCCTCTCCTCTCCTCTCCTCTCCTCTCCTCTCCTCTCCTCTCCTCTCCTCTCCTCTCCTCTCCTCTCCTCTCCTCTCCTCTCCTCTCCTCTCCTCTCCTCTCCTCTCCTCTCCTCTCCTCTCCTCTCCTCTCCTCTCCTCTCCTCTCCTCTCCTCTCCTCTCCTCTCCTCTCCTCTCCTCTCCTCTCCTCTCCTCTCCTCTCCTCTCCTCTCCTCTCCTCTCCTCTCCTCTCCTCTCCTCTCCTCTCCTCTCCTCTCCTCTTTCGATAACAGTTATATCAATTTCAATATCTCTTCTAATTTTATCTTCAATTCTCTCTAGAGACTTGGAAGGCAATGAAATCGCCTCAATACACAAAGAAGCCTTCATGCCATTTGCCAAATTGGAAGACTTAAATTTAGGCAATAATATCTTCCCCGAACTGCCATCGGCTGGCTTGAATAAGCTGCTGCATTTAAAGACTTTCAACAATCCCAAATTACGCGAATTCCCAGCGCCTGACACATTTCCGCGCATACAGACGCTGATCCTCTCATATGCATACCACTGCTGTCCCTTCATACCGCTAGTAGCAATGTCCGCCACGAAGAAGCCACCCCTAGTGCAAGAGGCAGTGCTCTTTCCCTCCGACTCCGAATTCGATATGAGCTTGTGGAATAACAGTATGATGGATATATGGCCGCAGTTGCGTAAGTACATTAGAAAAATTTTCTAACGTTTTGATACAATTAAATACATATAGCATATATTCATTAAACCCTTCATCTTCCAGAGAATCTCAGCAAAAAGTTTGGCAACCAAATGCACGATATCTGGGATAACTTCGGTCAAGACTTCAATTACCCTGGCAATACTCCCACCTATGTCGAGGAATACTTCGAGGAAGAAAACACAGGCACGACCACCACAGCAACAGGCATGGCCAGCAGTTTTGCTGGTTTTAGCACTGGCCTCTTCGGCACTGTAGACACCGAAATAGCGCCTGGCTCCATACAATGCCTACCCATGCCCGGCCCCTTTCTGCCCTGCGCTGATCTCTTCGACTGGTGGACTTTGCGCTGTGGCGTTTGGGTTGTCTTCCTGCTGGCGCTGCTGGGGAACGGCACCGTCGTTATAGTGCTCATGTTCTCCCGTTCCAAAATGGATGTGCCACGTTTTTTGGTATGCAATTTGGCTGCAGCCGACTTCTTCATGGGCATTTACCTCGGCATACTCGCCATAGTAGATGCTTCAACATTGGGAGAATTTCGTATGTTCGCCATTCCTTGGCAGATGTCGCTTATGTGCCAGTTCGCCGGGTTCTTAGCCGTGCTCTCTTCGGAGTTGTCAGTGTATACGTTGGCCGTGATTACGCTGGAACGCAATTACGCCATAACGCATGCGATACACTTGAATAAACGGCTGTCACTGCGTCAGTCAGCATACATTATGGCGGTGGGCTGGACCTTTGCGCTGATCATGGCGGCTCTGCCATTAGCTGGCATCTCTGATTACCGCAAGTTTGCCGTGTGTCTGCCATTCGAGACGACAACTGGCGTGGCCAGCCTGACTTATGTTATTGCGCTGATGTTCATCAATGGTTGTGCGTTTGTGACGCTTATGGGCTGCTACCTGAAAATGTATTGGGCCATCCGCGGTTCACAGGCCTGGAATACCAACGATTCCCGTATTGCGAAACGCATGGCACTACTGGTCTTTACCGATTTCCTCTGCTGGTCACCGATTGCCTTCTTCTCCATCACTGCCATCTTTGGACTGCAGCTAATCTCGCTGGAGCAAGCCAAGATTTTTACAGTTTTCGTGCTGCCGCTGAATTCGTGTTGCAATCCTTTCTTGTACGCAATTATGACAAAGCAATTTAAGAAGGATTGCATAACGCTGTGTAAGCACTTCGAAGAGGCGCGCGTAACACGTGGCGCCGGTGCCGCCGCTGCTACAGCACTCCCCGGTGGGCTTGGAAGGCGTGGCGGTGTGCGCGTAGCCAAAGAGCTGCCACCTTTGCTGCCTGCAGCGCATCCGCCCGGCTGTCGGTGCTTGCGAATGATGCCCAATGAAATGCCCAATTGGCATAAGCTGCAGGAGCGTGAACGTGTTCGCAACACATGGGCGTCCAGTACATGGCATTGGTTGGCAATCTGCTGTCATTGCGCGGATCCGGATGATGATGACGATGATGATGTGGAGGCGCGTCATCTCGGCGGTGGTCGTCGCCAACGGAAGTCGCATAAGGCGAGTAATCGCCATACGCGTACGCGTTCGCATAATGCGGCAACAGATCCGTACCTCTATCAGTTTGCTGAGCTGAAACAGAAGCAGAAACAGACACGCGCTAGCTCGATATCTAGTGAGAATTTCTGTTCATCGCGTTCATCTAGCTGGCGTAATGGTCCACCCTCGGCTGGCGCGGTACCGCATACTTGCAACGTACCACTCAAGATGATGGATCCGAATCGACGGAGACATTCTGCGTGGCTGATAACGCGAAAGACTTCGCAAGACTCTAACTTGTCGAGCTCTCGCAACGACAGCTCAGCTTCGGCGACCACGGCAAGCACTTCCACCTTCCGGTTATCGCGCTCAAGTGCGGGCAGTACAACGCCATTGCCGTCTATAATGGGTGAGTATATGCGGGATTGAGAATATTTTTACTTCATTCGAGTTCATCCCATTTTTTTTTCATTCACCGTATTGCATTTTATTTCGTTTCTTTCCCCTCCATTTTATTCCATTCCATTCTAGTTTCATTTCAGGTCGTTTCATTTGAATTAATTTCACTTCGTTCCATTCACCTAATTTTTATTCCATTTCATAGCTCTTTCATTTCACTCCACCTCATTCCAATGATGTATGCTTTCTAATTTAATTATTTTTCATTTTGGTTCATATGAAAACGCCCCGTTTACTATTTTGTTCCATTTTGTTCTTTTCCGTTCCGTTCCATCCTATATTTATAATCCCACTGTGTTCATTCTACATCATTCCACTTTATACTTTTTACTGAAATCCTTTTGATTCGGATGCATTTCCTTCCCTTTCCATTCCATTGAATTTCATGAATTTCGTGCCATCCCAATCTGTTAGTTTTTTCCATTGCATTTGATTTCATTTCTTTCCCTTCCATTTTTTCCATTCCACTTCAGGTTTATTTCAATTTACTTCATTTAAATTCATTTAATTTCGTTACATTCACTTAATTTTTATTCCATTCCATTTCATTGCACATTGATTTTACTCCACATCATTCCACACTGAGAAACGTTTTATGTTTTCGTTTTTTGCATTTGGTTTCATATGAAAACGTCCCTAATATTTTTTTGTTCCATTGTGTTCTGTAACGTTCCGTTCCGTTCCACATTATCTATATATAAATACGCCACAAGAAAATTTTGCAATCCCTTTTTTGAAGGCACCGTTCGCTCGATTTCAATGAAACATACACCGATTTAAAGGATATAACTTCCTCTAATCCAGAAATGTTAATCCCGAAACATAGGGGGCGTGGCATGTAACATATAGACTAAAATGTGAAAACTACTTTATCTCTAAAACTAATTATGCTGGGAAACTGAAACTTAGCATAGATGCATAGATTGTAAATACCCTACGTACGGAGAAAAGTGGTAGATTTTTGAAAAGGGGGCGTGGCCCCTCCCATACAAACTGAAATTCTCCTATCGCTTTTCTCTGGAACCGCTTATGCCAACGCCTTGAAATTTGACCCAGCTATTTACGCTATCAATAACGTGCTTAAAGCGAAAAACGGTAGATATTGGAAAAGGGGGCGAGGGGGGGAGGTGCTCCCATACAAGCACCGCTGAACCGCTTAAGCTAACGTTCTGAAACTTGACACAGCTGCATACATATGTATCATTACCGAACTCATGGCGAAAAGTGGTGTGCATTCGAAAGGGGGATAAGGCACCTCGCATACAGAATGCAATTTCCATACCGCTTATACCTGGATCCACTTATGATAGATAAGGTAATGGAATTTGATACACTTATGTCTACATACATTTAAAATGGCAAAAATCATTCAATTGGGAACCATTTCCTACCAGATTTCTAAATCGCATTGAATGATTGTTATTTTGTGTACTGATTTTTGAAATGATCAGTGTGTTTGTCTTTCGTTAGGTGGCGCAGGGATTGAGAGTTGAGATGGGCATGGGACAAAATATTAAGTCCCGATCCCGCTCATCCCGAAATTCATTTTTTAACTTCCGAACCCGCTCATCCTGACGTTTTTCAGAATTGTACCGTGGGCCCGGGGGCCACGAAATCTATCTCTAAAAAAATTCACATGTCTTTCAAATTAATTTTAAATAAATAAAAATTGTATGAAAGAAATGGCATCCTCCAACTATTTTATTTTGCTTTGCTGTTCGTTTTCGTCTCAATAAAACATAAAAAGTGCATATTTTATACAAATTTATTAAGAGAGATTTTCTGAATTTGCGGAAGTTGCGGTTTTATCGGGAGTAGCGGGAATGGATTTTGATCCCGTTCCGTCCGTTAAATTTTTACAGACCTTCCCAATACCGCCCGTCTCGAATATCAGTACCATGGGTCCCGATACTCCATGCCCATCTCTAATTGAGAGCTATCCTTAAAATGTATAACCAGATTTTCTTCATCTTTAGAACACATAAAAACATAAAATTTGGTGCAATTCGGTAGCCCAATCATGTGATGCAAAAATATTGGGCTTTAGGCCCATTCTTGACAAAAACACGTGTAAAACCGCCGTTAGAGAAGGAAATATTATATTTTGTTTTACACCTTTGAGGTACTTAACTTCCACCGATTCTGATGAAAAGAATGAGGAGTTTATGCAGATGATGGCAATTTAGTTTGAACGTTCCAAGTGGCACTCAGACCAATATAATCGAAAAAAGTATTTACAGTCTGGATTGGTATTTGTTTAACATAATAGTCAGCGAGGAACCGTTAGGCATGTCATCTATATATACAAATACATATATATGCATATTTTTTGTAAATGAAACTTTAGGTTCCTTTCTCGGTATAATTTCGAAAGGTACTAAGCAATTTGGTTTCAAGTTTTCCTATAAAGCATAAATGAGTCAATATTGGTGATAAACAAAATTTAAAAGTGTATGAAAAAATGTCGAATTTCGACAACTGGGCGGTACTAGTACTTATAATCCCGCTGTTTTCATTCTACATCATTCCGCTTTGATTACAATCTTCTTTATTCTGAGTCATTTCGATTCCCTTGAATTCCTTATCATTTCATTCCATTTCGTACCGTCTTATCAATAAAATGTTTTCCATTCACCAAATTGTTCCGGTCTATTTTATTTCTATTTCCTCCATTTTATTCCGTCTTCGTTCCGATTGGTTCCATTCCAGTTCATTTCATTTCGTTCCCTCGTTTAATTTCATTTCACTGCATTAAATTTATTTTTTCTTGCTTTTTGTTACATACAAATACACTCTGGTTACTTTTTTGTTCCGTTTTCTTCTGTTCCATTTCATTTAATATCATTTCGCTCTTTCATCAAAATCTGCTTGATTCTGTTTCATTACCACTCCATCTATCCATCAGTTTCTATGTCATATCATTGCAATTCTCATCATTGTCTACTTTCCCTCCTACCAGCTCATAGCAGCAAAGCACAGCAACAACAACTACAACAGCACTCCACTCTACCCTCAAAACCGCGTCTCGTCCGTCAGGAGGCCGTTCAAGAGGAAGAAGACTCATCTCCACCACGCCTTGGCGTACGCTTTCTACCCACTATACCGTCAGCAGCAGATAGTTCCATTATCATGGAGGACGGCGACTCAGCCATGAACGTAGCCAGTGTGATGGGTATGCCGCTGCCAGGTGCAGCGAGCGGTTTTTACACTGTGCTGCAGGCGCAAAGTGGTGGTGCGGCGAAAACACTGCTCACCTCGACGACGAGTCCACAATTCGATACACCGAAAGAAGAACATCCACCATGACACTGTTTGGGTTGGTTCGTCGGCGGGCAACAAAAGCGAATGAGAAAACAAAAACCACCAAAACGTGATAGCAACAAAAAAAGTGGCATTAGTGAGGCATTTCTCTAACGGACGTATTGAAATTTACTGTTCATACACATATACATATGTATGTTCGAATAATTAAATATACATATGTACTCTTCGAACGCATGCATGGCATAAGTAGTCAATTTGTACAGTAGCTGATAATAATGGCGTGTTTCTAAATGTGTGAATGTTTGTGGATATGTAACCGCAAAAGTACTTAAAATATTTTAAATATTTAAAAAGCTAAAAAATGCTTACAAAACATAAGTATGTATGTACAATATATAAGTTTAGCAATACAGATTCACACATACATAAATATTTAAGTGTGCATTGAAAAGCATGTTATAGAAAATAAGTATTTATTGCATAAAAATAAGCTAAACATATATGTATGTATATGTATGCATTCAGTTTTGCTGGCGCTAAAATAGTACTTAAATAACTGCGAAAATTATTTATTTCAAATACTTTTTATCCTCAAATATACTATGATGAATTTTTGTTACAATTTTATGGCCTTATTCATAAAAAATAAAGTAGGTTTAAAGAGCTTTATAAAATGACGTTTTCATACATTTTTCAGTTTATAAACCTTTTTTAAAGCTACTTTATTTTTTATGAATAAGGCCGTTAATTTGTATATTTTTAAACAATTTTTTCTCGATTATTTTAAATTTTTAAAGGTTTTTACTGATATAATGCCGCATTGGTATGACTTTTTTGCCAATTTATTTTTTGTCGATGTTTTGTCAAAACTCTGTGAAATTATATTCGCGAAAAATTGTTTCTATATGTAACGGTGCCGCACTAAAGCCATAAGAAATTGGATGGCGCGCGCACTGCAGACAGGTTTATTTTATTAGAATCAGACAGCGCTTTTGGTAATGTTGATTATGAATAGGAAACACCAGCGGCCATGGAGGCTGCACTCAGTCTCAGGCTTCGGTCTCAGGCATGCCGAAGCAGATGATGAAAACACAACAACAACAGCCAAACATATAATGTATAATTTCATTTATTACCCTGTGCGTTGCTGTAATCATAGGTACTGTAAAGCTGAATTTCAAACAATCTTTGAAACTCATAAACAAAAGACTTCATATACGAAATCGGAGCATGTTTAGCTGTCAAATGCCAAATGTGTTATCTAGTGATGCTATACTAAAAAATAAATGCGAAGCAGCAAAAGAAAAAAACGCTTTATAACCCGGAAAAATAGAAAAAATGCCCTTTTTTATTAATTATTTCTGTGTTAAAAAACCTGATCTTTCGATTGCTATGACTTAAACAATATTAAAAATCACCATCGTTGATAAAAATTACCAATAAATTTTCGTTTCGAATTTTCGCCGTGAAAATGGAATAATTTTATAAAATGCATAGCCCGTGCAAAAATCTTTGGAAATCATTGTTTTCAAATTTGTTTCCCCATTTTCTCTCTACTTTCAAGCTAGGCTAGGCACCGCTCAGCGCGCCTGGGACATTTGACGTGAATCGCCCCACATACATACGTTTGTTTTATTTTTCTATTTTACCCCTCAAACGCCTTAACATCGAAATACACAAACTAAAAATAACTCCGAGCTGGATTTTTTTTAACAAAAAGATACCTTTTTTTGTTTTTTAACCGACTTCACAAAAAGGAGAAAGTATCAGTTCGTCGGAATATTTAACCGATTTCTAGAATTCTTTTTTTAAAGAAAAGGTATTACCTCACAGGTGGCCCCCTTCTTAATTTGGTTTAAATCCGATCATTGGATCATTGGATCATAAAGAAATTAAAATTTGTATATGAGAATTGAAGTCGGTTTTGTCTTTTGCTTAAAAATTACTTTTTTTTATTATTTAAAATTTTTTAAAAATTTCTAGAACATCCTTTTTCAACATTTTTAAGAGAGTTATTTTTCAGAAATGGATACAGATTTTTTTCAAAGATTATTTAAGATTTTGCAAGAAAGATGAAAACGTATCTGTTTTTTTCTGCGCCATTTTTGATTTTTATCAAACAAATTTGTGATATTTATTAAGAATTGGAAAAATTACATACTTTTTTAACAAACCATCCTTTAATAAGGATATGTTTTGAAAAACTAAAAACCTAACAAAGCTGAAAAAAATTCAGAAAAATTCAGGCAATCCTTTTGAGTGTCGATGCGAGTTCAGGGTGTTTATTGTATTAAAATAAATGAAAATACATTAGTTTGCCAATATATTTCAATCTCCTCCGGAGATCGTCTTCAGAGGACATGTTAATTAAATTTTAGCGCAACGACGTCCGGTCTCATTTGTCATGCAGTTTAATTCAATAAACGCCCTGACCTAGGGATTGTTTGATTTGTTTCAAACATTTTTACAGCTTAATTAATTTTCCAAGAAATATTCTTACTATAAAAAAATGTGTTTTCCCATTCTTAATAAATATCACAAATTTTTCATTAAAGACTAAAGCAATAAAAAAATACATATATTTCTTTGTGAAATTCTACCAGCAGCCCATGTGTCCTATATTTAAGTATACACCCCGTGTCAAAATTATAAACGCACCTCATATTGACAAATTTTAATCATTTATTATTTTAAAAATTTTTTTTATTTTAGTTATTTCTATATAAGAATAATAGTTTCTTCTTTAACAAAACCCGTATAATCCCCCCTTTTTATATTAAATAAAAAAAAATCAACAAATGTTCCTAAGGCTTTCATGCTTTTGAATTTGATTTCTTAGAAATATTTTTAGTACACAGTTTTGTATTCCATTAAATTTTAGTGAAAAAAAGTCTAACTTTGAAGTAGCTAGAAATTAACGTTGATTTTTGATATATGTATTTTTTTTGTTTTGCTGACGTTTTGTTGAACTCTTCCTTCCATACAAAGTATGTTCGAAGATTTTTCTATTTGAAAGAAAATGAGAAATATTTTTAATTGAATGGGCTACCAAACTGCTTGAAACATTTTCGAAATTTTATTAATTTGTTTTTTTTTTTAATATTGCACTAAGTTTGAAACTTGGTTTGTACGGTTTTTGTTAAGGAAAATATTATATTTTTATAACCAAAATATTGAAAAATATGTGGTGCTTTTGAAATTTTGACACGGAGTGTCATTTAAAGCATTATTTTGCTGTTGTATGCTTTTTTTAAGTATTAACTATGAATGTAATAATGTAAAAAAATAGTTCTAAAGTGATAATATTTCTAAGGAGTACTTAGTCATAAGCAAATGTAACAATAATATACATGCATACATACATACGTATAATTCAAACAAAAAAAAATAAAAATAAAAAAAAGTGATAAAAAAATATGAAAGTACCAAGATCAAATCAAATGCCTGTTGTTTTCATACGTTTTTTATCGCTGTAGGTTACTGGGTGCACTTGAATTTAATGCCAAACGCTATTTCATTTTCATGGGCGAGGTCGAAATCAAGCAAATATTTCTTGCTATTAGTCATAGTAGAAAGCATCCTGTAGGCAAGTGCATTTTCTAGCATTACACAAGAGAAATTGAGATGAGAAACTAATGCCTTGTTAATACAAAAAAACTAAAAACCCAAGAAAACGGCTTTAAAGTTTAAAGTTAACATGAACTCCTATGGCAAAAATGTGCTAACCATCGTAAAATCTTAAGCTTAACATTTTTTTTATGTAAAGTAATGATTAAAATAGTTTTAGAGGATTTCTAGCTACACCGTAAGGTTTTTAAACTGATAAAAAAATATAAATAAGCCACCCCTAAAATCATGTTAACCGTTATTTTACACAAAAAAAATGTTAAGCTTAAGATTTTACGACTCTTAACACGCAACGCGGAACGGAAAAAGAGGTGGCGCACAGTGGTGTGAAACTGGAATTTACTGTTCATAATCATACATGGCCTTCATTTTTCAACAAACTTGATAAATATTTTTTAAAGGAAAGCCTATAAAATTTATTTATATAAAGTGCAGGGAAAGTAACAATTTTGAAGGAAATCCAATCCCCTATTCCAGTTAATAAATGTCACATAATAAACACAAGTTGAAAGCATTTGTGGGTTTCCCAAAAATGAAAAAAATTAACAAAAAAATTTTAAAAAAACTTTCACCAAAACCGATTTTTTTTGTAACGATTAGATACATTTTAGGTATGCAGTATTATAGCTCATTAAATTTTAGTATAAGAAAAGGGAAGTTTTAAGTGGCTAAGAACTCTTGTTGGTTTTTAACAATTTTATTTATGCTAATATTTCGATCAAATTTACATAGGGCCGGTTACTCAATGTCTGGTTACAACAAATCGGAGGTAGAAGCACTGGTTAAATGCAAACACTGCTTTATCGATCACATGTTATATGCATGGAGTCGAAGACGTCGATAACGATGTTTATTATTGTTAACCAGACATTGAGTAACCGGGCCTTAATATGGAAGAAAATACCTAGCAGCGTCAGCAAAAATATTAAAAAAAAAATTAACGCGAGTTTTTAGCCACTCGACCCTTGTACACTGAGCCAAAAGTACAATGGTATATCTGACTGTGGCTGAACGTTCATGGGTGTTTGCTGTTATTTTTTGGCTTCCAGCAGGTTCGAGGGTACGAATGCCGTCACTCCAACACTTCATTTTTATTATTTCTTTTCTGTGTTTGGTTTTTCTTAACTACGAAAAAGCCTCTGTGAAGTGCAGAACCAAATCTAGTGACGAAGAAAATTGATTCAAGTTATACATTTGAAGATACATTTACAAAGCGGCTGTAGCTGAGTATGTAGAGATGCTAGCTGTTATTTGCTAATTCTGTCAGAGGCACGTGTTAAAATGATTACAAAAAATTTTGTTTTGTATCTCCAAATTATGAAAAAGCATCTGTGAAGTGCAGAAGGCAGATGTTTTCAAACGAAAAAATCGACAACCAAAAGTTTGGTTAATGTAAACAAAAGTGTTGTTAATATTACCAAATCATCGTTGAAAATATGCACCAGGGCATTGTTAATATTAACCAAAAATCACGTTGATTCCTTTTCAAGTTTGAATTTGGTAATGTTAACCAATTTTTAGTTGAGTTTTTTTTTTCTCAGTGTACTAAAATTTAATGGCCTATATAATTGCATACCTAAAAATTCAAAAAATAATAATTTTAATTTTAAGGATTTTTTTTTCTATGCGTAACATTCCAATTTTTTTGTGCATTTTTTTCCAATCAATGGTCATTTGGGAATACTTAACTTAAATATTTTTTTTTTACATTACGTTGTGTACATTAGGCTAGACGAAATTATTTTCCAGTCACTCTCCGAACTTAAGAATGTCACAAAAATAGAAAAATCCTTTCTCTTTAATTTTGAAATCGTTTGATCTTAACCCGTGCGCCGGGGCTTTGAATTTGGATCAGGTTAGCCTTTAGAGGGTGTCAACAGGAAAATACCAACAACAATTATTTTCCGTGTATAGCTTGGACCACCCTTATGTACATATAAGCAAAACTAAACATACATATAAGTACTATAAATAAGTTAAAACAATTTTAGGATGCTCAGGAAGCCTAAGTACTCGGTTTTCGGAAGCTTCCATAAAGGCATTTGGATTTTAAATATTTACATCTATCCTTTGCGAATTTAGAAACTTGCTTAATTCACGCTCATAAAAAAATTTAGCTTAAGCAATATGTAAAAGTTTGATAATTATCTACTTCAATTACTTCACACGCGCATTTCCATCAATGAATGAGTCAAAAAGTGAATGTGAAATTTAGTATATGCTCGCAAGATTATGTGCATATATATAGTACATATGTATGTATGTATGTAAGACTGCTTGTATCAGCCACACAAAGGAAGTCCTTATCAATGGTATTCAGATACATATGAAGGAATAAAAATACTTTATTTAAAATGTATGTAAATATGTGCGAGTTGAGTGCCTTAATTAGACCGTTCTTTGCGTGTAGGAATGTCTATTTTAATTTCTCCGTCAACCATGACGATCTTCGGTATGATGTTTTTCTACCAAGATACGACTGTATGCAGAAAGCTTTTAAATATCGCGTTTATGAGACGTCTTCATTCACTTGCTTACTATGTACATAAATAGTTTCACATGCAGTTTGACTGTGTCAAATAAAACGACTATCTATTTGTATTTTTTCGGACCTATAAGAAAATTTCGTTGTCGGTCACAAAAAAAAAATAAATGTGGCGAAATTTCTCTGTCTTAATTTTTCAGTCAGCGCTCGCAAAATAAGAATTTTTAACGAAAAAAATGCTTTTTCCGCTACCTTTTTTAATAAACATTTAAATATAACCAAATGAAAAACATTGTAGCAAGTGCAAGTTTGAAGTAGCTATAGGACTTACCGTTGATTTTAGCAAATTTTTTTTCGTTGAAGGTTTTTCGTTAATTTTTTTTCATATCAACAAGTCATCGAACATACTTTGTGTGGAAGTAAATTGCTGACCCAGTCACCCTTCTGAGGTAGCGGAGCTGAAACTGTTGGATCTCTTAGGTTTCATTAAGGATAGTATTTGGTACGGTAGAATAATGACTTGAAATTTCTTAGCTACTCTCTCGGTTATGGGTACGAATCTCCTCCTGACAATCGCTTAAAAATGCCACTCAAAATGCACAATTATGAATCCTAGACAAAGCATGGAAAATTCTACAAACGCCATCCTAAGCTAACGTAACCTTGTTGGTGGCATTCCTGATGAATTTTTAAAATTAGTATGTTCAGAGACTTTTTGTAGAATTTAGTAATAAATATTTTTGTAAAATATTTTAATCCATATCGCATCCCTCCTTTATGTGTATTTTTCGCCATTTTCTAAAAAAGTGCAAAAAGAACTCTGAAATCCAATGGAACTAAAAATATAATGCAAATAGGTCATTCCATGTAAAAGAAGAAAATTATATAAATTTTAAAATTCCTCAATTAACCCTATTTGAGTAGTGAGTTTTTGCTAAATGACTACACTCCTTTAATCTGTTGAATATCTATTGCCAAATTAGAAAAGCTGTAATTTTTGCCCATTGAAACTTTTTTACTTCATACATACTTCATACCAGTCACCAGAATGTGTCACAATTTTAAATATTTTTAAATATTTCCATGAAGATTATATAAGCTTTAAATTTCATGAACAGGAAATGAACGGGCATATTTTACAAAAAAAAAAATCTGAGTGCAAAAAGGTAAAATAGAGGGATTTTCAGTGTCCCACCAGCCCAATTTATCCAAATAATAGTTACAAAGAGCTAAGAAATTATTTGCTATTTTTTTTAAAGGAATATTCTATATATATGTATGTATGTAATGGCCAAAATAGATATCGTTTCAATTTGAATTTTTTATCGAATCGAAAAACCAAACTTCTCCTCCAACTACCTATCACCAAAGGTGCTGGAAAACAATGAGAATAATTCCCATGGGAATAGGTATTAGTAATGAGAATGGATATTTATTCTTATCGTAGAGTAAATATCCATTCTCATGTGAGTGAATTTCGATTCCCATGAGAATTATTCTCATCGTTTACCAGCACCTTAAGCGAGACACTGCATTCTCTCACAACAGCTCGGCCAACGGAGGAGATTATGGAATACCAAATTTAGCGCCATGCGAGTCTCCTTGTTGGTGGATTGAATTGGATGACTAAAATAGCCAGTTCTAAAGAGGACAAGTTTCTACCAAATTTTGCATACTATTTAATTAAAAAATTAGTAATAAAGAATTAAGGTATACTTTTCTTCGTAACGTTCTTAAAACAAAGCCCAGAGCCGCGGTATGTCACAATAGCGGCGATAAGTGCGGTTTATTGTGCTTTTTGCAAATATGTACTTATGAATGTGTTAAGGCGCATATACGTACGTTTATATGCATGTACACATATGGAACTTATCACTTTGAAAACGGATGCGTGTATATGTTAAAACAAGAAGCAAAAAATTCATTAATAAAACCACTGTCGGTATTAAAACTACTTGCAAGACTGTATTTATTACACATACATACGTAGTACGTAGTACGTATGTAAATATATACACAATTTTAGGTACATATCATTGGCAGATATGTGCCATTTACTGCTTTGATTATACAACCATACATACACATTTACATATATGTACATATGAATGTATTTAGTTGTGCCGATATCTGCACTGCTAATATTTTTCATTATATGGAATATTATTTTTCCATTACTTTGAATGTTGCAATCAGTTGAATTTCGTATTTGGCGCGAGTTGCATATTTACTTACTAACTAACGGAAAACTAAGTTTTAAGAAATGCGCTTCTCTGTTGTGTGGATATGTTTTTTCCTATATGCAACCAATGTTGCGGCGCAGTATTGCACGAAAGTCAAAACCGAAGTAATTAATGGCCGTAAAGTGCTACGTAGAATGAGATTTTGCTGTAACGGTTTTAGGAAAATCAAAGGTGAATGCAAACCTTACTGCCCCACCGGCTGTTTCAATGGTAAATGCGTGAAGCCGGGTGTGTGCGAATGTAATGCCGGCTACAGGAAGTTCAATAACTATCGGTAGGTGCAGCGGCAGTTGACTTTTTAGTGGATACAACTTAAAAGGACTGAATATACAAATTTTTTGTTAAAATTTCTCACAGTGGTTGTGGTTATCAAATGAAAGAAAGAAGTGAAGAAAATTTAAAAAATTAATAAACATTTTTTTTTTCAAGTATGTGATAAAATTTCTTTAAATATTTACCCTTAATTTCTGTCAAGATTTAAAGTCTTTTTACCATATTCTTATAAATTATGTGAATGGTGTGCGTTATCATTGGAAAGTGTCATTTAAAATTATAAAACAATCGTTATATAAATTGTCGTTTTAATTTCACTGAATATTTACTTTAAGAAAGTGAGTTTGCATTAAAAAAGAAGCTTTCTTATGTATCGTTCTTCACATAAGAAAAATCAAAGCATTTTTATTGCCCAATTTTTGGGAAATGTTTTCTCATACTACATAATCAAATTTTAAACTATTTTTTTTTTATTTAATTAAAAATTTTTCTTTGGAAAAATATTTTCACATCAAATTTTCTATATTAGTATATACATTAGAGTGGTCCAAAATAATAAAGTTGGAATTTTAATGCCGCCACCCCCTAGGATTGTTCTGAACCGAAAATAAATATACCCCTATTTTTTTATTATGAAATCAAAAAAAAATTAGGGAGTGCTCACAGCGCTCAAGTTGTCCATGTATTTTATATGGGAAAAAAACAAATTTTCGTAAAAATGGTATAAAACTCTTGAAATCAATATTTTTCAATCGTAAAACTGTGGTTCTCTTCAGGATACTTAAATATTAACATCCTATTGTTTATTTAACCATTTTTTATGACTAAAGATTTTTTATAGAACCCCCCATTGCATATTCTAGGACCTATAAAATATAGTTACCATGAAAAAATTGTTAAAGGAACAATTGGGTATTATTACCGGGAATCTCCTGAAGACAAGCAAAGTTTTCCGATCGAAAAATATTGACTGTCAAGAATTCTACACTATTTCTACGAAAAGTTGTTTTTTCCCCATATAAAATACATTGAAAACTTTGAGCGCTTTGAGCACACCCTAATTTTTTTTTATTTCAAAATAAAAAAATAGCGGTATATTTTTTTGGTATAGAACAATTCTAGGTGCTGGCGGCATTAAAAAGCGACCTTATTTTTTTTTTACATACATTTTTGGACCACTTTAATGTACATACACATGTCTATGGAAAAAAAAATTTAAATATATATGTATATTTATTGAATTATTCTTTAAAAAGTTATGTTTTGTTTAACAATTTCCTTAATAACATAAAAAAAATTTAAATACTTTTTGTTTCAAAAAATCCTATTGAAAATGTGTTAGGAACGTCCTTAAAATGTGTACCTTTAAAACATATTGGAAAAAAAGTTTTAAAAACTTTCGCAAAATGACACTAGTTTTTTTTTGGAGTTCTAGACTAGAAATTTAACTTTTCGCTAAAATTTGATAAAATAACATATAAAAAACTAAAATGAGGCACCAAGTTAAATTTGAATTCCACAAAAAATGCTACTACGTATAAAACCAGTATAATCATCATCGCACATGTCCTAAGTGTTTTTATGCCGCTTTTTTTTACTTCAAGTGGAGTAAAATAATGAAAAAAAAAGTTTATTAACATAATATTATTTTTTATTTAAAACTGTCCTTTTTAAAATTCCCTCCAAACTTTTTCCTTCAATATTCACGAAGATTTTCGAAGTGAATTTATAAAAAAAAAAAAAATATTTAAAAGTTTTTGATTACAACAATCATTTTTTAAAATATGTAAGAAATATTTATTTAATAAAAGTATGCAAATATATTTCCTAAAAAAATAGCGATAATGGCTTTAAAGCAAAATTAAAAAAAAATAAAAATAATTCTAAATTATGAGGATGAAAAAGTAAAATACTTTTTGATTCGGACAATCTTATTTTAAATACCTACATATGTATATATATTAAAAATGTCGTTGAAAAAATTAAAAGCATTTTGAACAAAATTAACATAAAAAAAATTTATAAACAATTATTTGTTTAAATTTTGTTTTCATTAAAGAAGAAAAAATCTTCCACGAAATGTGCATACAAAATTTACAAAAAAACCTTTTATTTAAAATAATCTTATTTACATAAAAAATATAAGAAAAATTGTAGAAACCTTTTCTTCAATATTCTCGAAGATTTTTGAAATAAAGGCAATTTTTAAATAAAATTTTAGTATTTATAATAATAAAAAATATTCTTCAAAGTAAGAAAAAAATTTCTTTAAAATATCTAAGAAAAAAAGTTCTTTAAATAACTAAATTTTTTGTTTTCATTAAAATAATGCATTTAATATTCGAAAACGATTTTTGATTGCGATTTTTTCTTTTAAGTAATAGCGTTCTTTAAAATTTTCAATTTGTTCGAATCCGAAACTGTTTGAAAAAATGCCCTTAAAAAATCTAAAAATACAATTTCTTCTCAACTAAACAAGAATACAGTCCCTCGGCGACATATAAAAAGTATAGTAAAGGATATTTTTTTTTATAAAAAAACAGTATCTAATTTCACTTTATCTCACTTTCTGCCGCCAACAGCTGCCTGCCCCAATGTGATGACTGCAGAAATGGCTTTTGTAGTGCGCCAGGCGTTTGCAAATGCAATAGTGGCTATGAGCTTAACGCCACCGGTCACTGTGAGCCCGTTTGCACACCTCTCTGCAAAAATGGTAAATGCGAATCGCCGGGCAAATGCGTCTGCTTGCCGGGCTATAAGAAAAACGCCGCAGGTGCTTGTGAACCGCAATGTGCTAACGATTGTCGCAATGGTGATTGCATCGCACCAAATCAGTGCGCCTGTAAGACAGGTTATGAAGCAGATGCATCGGGCCAATGTCAACCAATTTGCGAAGATGGCTGTGAACATGGAGTATGTCGTGCGCCAAGTGTTTGCGAATGTAATAAAGGTTACCAAAAATCTCTTAATAAGACATGTGCGCCTCATTGCTTGGACGAATGCGTTAATGGAGTTTGTGTTGAGCCGAACGTTTGCGAATGTATTGCGGGTTATAGAAAGGTTTTGGATAATATTTGCCAACCGATTTGTGAGCCCAGTTGTATTAATGGTGAATGTATTGCACCCAACACATGCGCATGCGATACAGGCTACAAACCGGAAGGTGGCAGATGTGAACCGCACTGTCCGAGTGGTTGTCCGAATGGTCGCTGTATATCACCAGAAAAGTGTGAATGCGACAAAGGATACTCTCTTAGTTTGGCGAGTGTATGCGATCCCGTTTGTAGTAATGGTTGCGCGAATGGACTTTGCATTGCCCCAGAAATCTGTAAATGTAGCACAGGGTACAATTTGAGTGACAATAATATTTGTGAGCCCGTCTGCTCTAGCGGATGTCCGAATGGACAATGCGTAGCACCGGAAACCTGTGCCTGTGACACTGGATTTCAAATGACAGACCCGAATATTTGTGAACCCGTCTGCACAAACGGATGCCCGCATGGCGAGTGCATAGCTCCAGAAACCTGCGCGTGTGACGCTGGATTCAAAATGACCGACTCGAATATCTGTGAGCCCATATGCTCTAGCGGATGTCCCAATGGACAATGCGTAGCCCCGGAAACCTGTGCGTGTGACACTGGATTTCAAATGACAGACCCGAATATTTGTGAACCAATCTGCACAAACGGATGCCCGAATGGCGAGTGCATAGCTCCAGAAACTTGCGCGTGCGACGCTGGATTCAAAATGACCGACCCGAATATCTGTGAACCCGTCTGTTCCAGCGGCTGTCCGTATGGCCAGTGTAAAGCTCCAGAAACATGCGCGTGTGACGCTGGATTCAAAATGGTAGACANGTGTGACACTGGATTTCAAATGACAGACCCGAATATTTGTGAACCAATCTGCACAAACGGATGCCCGAATGGCGAGTGCATAGCTCCAGAAACTTGCGCGTGCGACGCTGGATTCAAAATGACCGACCCGAATATCTGTGAACCCGTCTGTTCCAGCGGCTGTCCGAATGGCCAGTGTATAGCTCCAGAAACTTGCGAGTGTGACGCTGGATTCCAAATGACAGACCCGAATATCTGTGAACCCATCTGTTCCAGCGGCTGCCCGAATGGCCAGTGTATAGCTCCAGAAACTTGCGAGTGTGACGCTGGATTCCAAATGACAGACACGAATATCTGTGAACCCATCTGTTCCAGCGGCTGCCCGAATGGCCAGTGTATAGCTCCAGAAACTTGCGCGTGTGAAGCGGGATTCAAAATGGCAGACCCGAATATCTGTGAACCCGTCTGTTCCAGCGGCTGTCCGAATGGCCAGTGTATAGCTCCAGAAACTTGCGAGTGTGACGCAGGATTCAAAATGACAGATCCGAATATCTGTGAACCCGTCTGTTCCAGCGGCTGTCCGGATGGCCAGTGTATAGCTCCAGAAACTTGCGAGTGTGACGCAGGATTCAAAATGACAGATCCGAATATCTGTGAACCCGTCTGTTCCAGCGGCTGTCCGGATGGCCAGTGTATAGCTCCAGAAACTTGCGAGTGTGACGCAGGATTCAAAATGACAGATCCGAATATCTGTGAACCCGTCTGTTCCAGCGGCTGTCCGGATGGCCAGTGTATAGCTCCAGAAACTTGCGAGTGTGACGCAGGATTCAAAATGACAGATCCGAATATCTGTGAACCCGTCTGTTCCAGCGGCTGTCCGGATGGCCAGTGTATAGCTCCAGAAACTTGCGAGTGTGACGCAGGATTCAAAATGACAGATCCGAATATCTGTGAACCCGTCTGTTCCAGCGGCTGTCGGAATGGCCAGTGTATAGCTCCGGAAACTTGCGCGTGTGACGCTGGGTTCAAAATGATGGACCCGAATATCTGTGAACCCGTCTGTTCCAGCGGCTGTCCGAATGGCCAGTGTATAGCTCCGGAAACCTGCGCGTGTGACGCTGGATTCAAAATGAGGGGTCAGAATGTCTGCGAGCCCGTCTGTTCCAGTGGCTGTCCAAATGGCCAGTGTATAGCCCCAGAAACTTGCACGTGTGACGCTGGGTTCAAAATGACAGACCAGAATATTTGTGAACCCGTCTGTTCCAGCGGCTGTCGGAATGGCCAGTGTATAGCTCCGGAAACCTGCGCGTGTGACGCTGGATTCAAAATGACTGACCCGAATATCTGTGAACCTGTATGCTTAAACGGATGTCCGAATGGACGGTGTATAGCTCCTGAAACGTGCGACTGTAAGAAAGGTTATACCATGTCTAGCGAACTCAATATTTGTGAGCCTAGTTGTTCTTCTGGCTGTCCGAACGGTGACTGCATAGCTCCAGAAATTTGTCAGTGCAAGAGTGGATATGTTAATGGCAGTTACAATATTTGTGAGCCTCTTTGTTCAAGCAACTGCTCCAATGGTCGTTGTGTAGCTCCGGAGACGTGCGAGTGTCACAAGGGGTATTCAAAATTGGCTGATGGAGAGTGCGAGCCAGTTTGTGACGCCACTTGTCCACGAAATCGATGCATTGCACCAGATGTCTGTTACTATAATACAGACAATATCGAAGACCAAATGAGATCTACTTCAAAATACACGGATTCTATTAGTGTAATTCTGAAATCGGCGCGAGCTGGACGTCTCTTTGCGGCTTCTGTTAACTCTTATGACGAGGAGGACAGTGATGAAGAAGGCAGTGATAATTCGGGTGATTACAGTGATAGCGTAAACATTTTGGACACACGCGATAACAGGTGTCTGAACCGCTGTACGAATGGCACTTGCCAACAAGAGCAATGCATCTGCCAATACGGTTATGAGCTACAGATGCATGGCCATGAGGATATCTGCGTTGCGCGCTGTGGTGTTTTAATTGATGGCGCGTACAGCGGCTGTGTAAATGGGTTTTGTAATGAGCCAGGAATTTGTGTATGCTTCGAAGGTTTCCAGCAGTCTACCGAGAATGCACACAAATGCGTGCTCCTTCATAGAGAGGAGCAGTCAAGTGGCGGAATTTTCAAATATCTACGTCTGTATGTTATTTTCGCTGCGCTTTCCTTGCCGTTGGCGTTGGTGGTATTATATTTGTTATGCCATATTAGCTGCGAAAAATCGTACAATGTGGCGAAAAGAGGTAAGAGAGATGGTGGTATAAAAGTTGTGTAGCAANGTGAAAATCACTTAGATTGGTGTCATATAAAGTATATCTTCCATACCTCTGATTGTTTAGATGCGATTTTTTATATAAGTATGTAACTCCTCTATCGATGTATGCAGATGTATTCAAAAGGAGTAATCTGTCAAAGTAAAATTTGCAGATGTTCATGAAAGGTATGAAGCCTTCGGCATAGCCGAAGACAGCACTGCTCTTACTTGTTTTTTATTAATTTTCTATTCACAGAGAACAACTTGGGACTGGCGAATTTATCGCGTAATGTGGATATCATACGAGTGCCTTAGTCAAGCGGGTTTTTTGGATTTTTGAAACTTTAAAGTGATGACAGTGATCTTCAGATTTTATCTTTTCGTTTACTAGATTTCTAAATTTTTGAATACATATCAATATGTGAATGTATGCATATGTAAAGTTATTGATAACCAAGTATAATATGTATTAATAATAGTAAGTAAATTTATATATGTGAATAAGTAGATGCATTAAGATAAGTGTAAAAAGTAGTTTTAAGTTTCGTGATAGACATTTCGTTTTCCAAATTTTTAGCATGATAAAAAAATAGGAAGGTAGAACCGCTTGCAGAAATTTTTCAAATTCTTGACGTTTGCATGCAATTTAATTTTAAAATTTTACACACACATTCTCATTTTTAATCTTAAACAAAAAGAACTTTGTACTTTTGAGAGAACGGTTTTACCTTACTATGCGTTTATCAGGATTTTTAGTACGAAAAAAATTTTGTTTTTCATAAAACACTCGAGCTAGTGATAACACAAATTAGAATTTAACGGTATCTGTTAATTAAAAAAGAATTGTATTGAAATGTTGAAAGCTACTGAGGTGTTGTTCGAGAAAAGTTTTACTATTCAGCGGTATAACGAAAATGTTTATATTGAAAGTGGCATAAGTCACTCAAAAAAAATCAAGTTAATGATAACATGGATTACACCGAGTAAAAATCAGTTTTGCACAAAAAATATATACTTCCAAAACTAGGAGCCAAATATAGTAAAACTGCGTTTTTAGTTTCTTTCTCTGGCGTCAGGATTTTGTTTTTTAAAGGACTTTGAAATTTCAGAGTTTCGATTAGTTAGTTCCAAAAATTATTTAAAAAATTCAGCGCTATATAGAATAACAATATGGGTTCCAAAAAACAGACAAAATTCTGTAGAATTAAAAAATATTAAGTTTTTGTGGTGCACAAGGACGAATAGGTATTGAAAATGTCCTTTTAAAGTTTTTTCCTTGAGTATCCCTGAGGATTAATATACACACGACCACACGTCCTTCTACTTTAGTAGCGTAAATAAATAACAATATTTGAAAGGGCATTTTCAATATCAATTCGTCCTTGTGAACCAAACAAATTTTATATTTTTAAATTCTAAAGAATTTTATCATTTGCTTGGTTGGTTGGTAGAATCGTCGCCTGAGTACATTCCCAGGATGCAATAAGTGCTGAAAGCACCATTTTGATACGCTTTCTCTGCGATCCTTGATTTAATCTGCTTTCATGATTCGTTGGGTTGGTCAAATCATTTGGATTTTGGTGAATTTGGAAATTTCCCCAAGATTTTGGATGGAAAAACTCCCGAGTGTGTTCCACTTTATTCTATCATTTACTTCGTACCCATATTGTTAGTCCAGATGGGAAGGTTACTCATACGCCATGTACGTACGTTCGATTTTAAATTTCCTAAGATATCAAATACAAGTAAATTGTTTCGAAAGTTAGCATCAATATTTTTAAACGCGCTAAAACGCAAAGCCTTACATGTATAGATTTAAAAAAAAGTGCGCCTGGGCCACACTGTAGAAGTGAAACTTACGTCACTTATCTATCTATACATACACACATCTGCTTCTGCTTAAGGATATATTTTTCGCTTTTTTTCTATCAATGTAGATCCCTACTTTTACCACTGTTCGTTTTAATAACGTTCATGTTATTATGTTTTTCCATTATCTTCATTTTTGTCCTTATACTCTATCGATAACAAAATCGATTATAACGTCCATCAAAATATCGATAACAAAATCGATGACAAATTCGATAAAAATTTCAGTAGCAACATCGATAATACCATTGGTAGCTAAATCGATTAGAATATCGATATAAATATCGATAACAAAATCGATAAATATTGATAACAAAATCGATAGCAAAATCGATAAATATCGATAACAAAATCGATAAGTACCGATAACAAAATCGATAAATATCGATAACAAAATCGATAAATGTCGATAGCAAAATCGATAACAATCGATAACAAAACCGATAATCATCGATAACAAAATCGATGAATATCAGTAACAAAATCCATAAATATCGATAACAAAACCGATAAAAATATCGATTATTTTATCGATAATTCTCGAGAACACCGAAAATCTCTAAGATCCCAAAATAGTTCCCAGATTGAGTCTCTGTGTCTCTCTCTATATCCTTTCCTCTTTAACTACCTCTATTTTAATCTTTCTTCCCCTAACTTCATCTTTGCTTTTATCGGTATCCTCATCATCCTCTGTGTCTTTACTTTTATGTTCATCATTTTTTTCAGCTACATATTCCCCTTCAGATTTGCCCTTATATTTATAAGTAAAGTGTTTAAATTTACCTTGGTCTTCATTTTTGCCTTTATCTTTACGCATCTTTGTTTTTGTTTTTATTTTTACATTTGCCTTTATCCTTTTCTTTATTTATGTACGTAGTCACCTTTACTTTCATTCTTGTATTGGTCTTTTTCTAAGTGTTATGCTTTAACCTTTTATTAGCAAATTTTTGTTAAATTAATACCATATGCATACACCCAAGAAGCACTTGTTTCAGCCCCAACCATTTCCGTTGCACCATTTCCGTTGCATCACTTCCGTTGCATCATTTCCGTTGCAACATTTCCGTGTGCAATTTCCGCTGAATTTGCCAGTTTACTCCCAACCAGCCAACCGCCGCTAAAGAAGTTGCACTTCAAAACAAGTGGCATAGGTGGTACTTTCAAAATCAACGGCTGAATTATGATTTATGAAATATTCAAGGAGACGGTTAGCAAAATTTTATTTGAAAAAAAAACAATGGATGAAAGTTTCTTTTGAACAGGCAATGTGTTTTATATGCGTCACTGAACACAAATTTCCGCCATCACGTCAAGTTTGTTTATCAACCTCAGAAATCCAGGCGGCCATTACGCAATAGACACAACTGTATATATTGACGAATTTACTTTAATCTTGGTAAACAGGGGTTTTTGGTATTGCTGATTACGAATATGGACCTAGATTTTCCAAACACAAAATGGCGGATGCAATATGGCAATCGAATTTTCCAAAAATTGATTGCATTTACGTATGTACATATATAAAACTTGGTACTATGGGTTCGCTGATTACGAATTTAAAATGAGATTTGCAATATTCAAAATGGTGGATTCAATATTGTGGCCATATTAAAAATTAAATTCTTATAAAATTTGATGCATATGTGTATAGGTTTTTGGGGTTGCTGATTGTCTAAGAATGTAAAGCCAGATTTCTGCAATCGAAACCAGCTATAATAGAAAACATTTCCACTGACTTTTAATACGTAAAAAAACGATGATTTTTGCTCCATTTAATTCCTTTGAAATTCAAATTTTTTTTTTTTTAATTCGATCGGAACATGGATCCGACATTTTAGATTTTGTGTATCTGACTTCATATTCGTATTTAGCAGCCCCAAAACTCCCTAACTACCAATATTAAAGTAAATCTGTGAAAATTTGTAAAACTTTGTTAGTCCGCCAGATTTTTGAAGTAGGAAATAAATTCTCATGTAATGGAGTAAAACGGACTTCAGATACGTGCTCAGCGACGCCAAAGACATATCGAACGCCTGGTGTGGTCAAAAAATGTAATCCTTTTTTTTTTTGTTGTGGTCCTGTGTGATCGCATTATATTTTTTAATAGACAAGCATACATTTAATGTAAAATATTTAAGTCATGTACAATTTAAAATTATTTATACTTAAAGGGCGGCTATTGAGAGTGTGCAAAGAGCGTCCATATGAAATAAACAAAATTTATAATTTAATTTTCTCGGACAAGCATCTAAATATTTTGCCTCTATTAAAACGAAAATCTGCTTTAGCAGAACTTTTCAGGTAAAAATTATCGTTCGAGAGGTTTTACACCATTGAAACATCGAACTATTCTACACCTTTTCAACCTAGTAATGAGAAAACGTAAGTTTATAATGAGAAAACCTAAATTGTATTGAGAATGCATAACTTTCTATTGAGAAAACGTAAATTATAATGAGAACACGTAAGTGTATAATGAGGAAACGGAAATTACAATGAGAAAAAGTAAACTGATGTTGAGATAACGTAGATTTATAATGAGAATGGGTAAATTTGTAATGAGAAAACGTAAATTTACAATGAGAAAATGTAAATAAGTAATAAGAACTGGGTTTCTTCCATTATTTGTGGTTCTGCCATTATTCACCCACTCTCATGTTTTGCAACGCAAGTGCATCTGCGTGCAATGTTGTTGTGTGCTGCACAGCTCTTGCGTAATCCCCTCCTGATAGTTTTTTTTTTTTTTTGCTTTGGACGAGCTGCATGATCCAAGCACTGCAGCTGCTGGCTGTGCAGGAACCTCTCCTTCGGTCCATTAGCAAAATACTTAATTAGAGCATGGCACCTATAACGTGGACATTTGGACCACGCGCAGCTGGTAATGCTTGTATTGCCCGCCGCGAAAGTCGGCAAAACAAAATGAAACTAGTCTCGTCAATTCAAACAATTTGTTTTCCTTGCTGTATGAAGGCATTTAGCTTCCGGACATATACTGCTCTTTTCTCTCTATTTTCCTGGCTGTTCATCGTTGTAGACAGTGATCGGATCTGCCACTTTTTTGAGCATCTACCACATGTACCACACAAGGTCTGAAATCTACCACATATTCGCGTTTTTGAGTAGTTTTATTTTTGCTCGTTATAATTTTCTTAATTTTAACAGCAAAAATTGTCCAACACTAAACACTAACAACAGGCAGAATGGGAGGATAAGATAAACATTAAAATTGTAAATTTTCTCAATATTCAATTTTTCGACAGAAAACATGGTTTAATTTTGTTAAAAATATATGAATTATAAAAAGGAATTAATAGCGAAAATGTGAAAAAACGGCGATTTTTGTGTAAGTATTAGAAAATTTCAGTGCATCTAAAGTTTCTAAAGCGTGGTTTACTTTTACTTGAGAATTGAGTAGCGGTTTCTGGGACGTGCCACATTTGTGCGCTACAACATGATGTGATAAAAATAAAAGCGGGCAGCACTCCGCAACGTTGCAGAAATCTTTCAAAATATGTTCGAAAAATATCTTGATATGGAAGGAACTGCTTTACACTGTCAAGGGAAAAAATTGCCAAATCTCAACGGAACTTTTATCAACTTCAATCTTGCACTTTATTATACTAAAATTAAATTTTCTTGGATTCGAATTAAAATGTTTGCAATTTAGGTGAAACCTTGCAGAATATTTTTAATTTTTGTACAAAGTTTGATCCAAAACCTGAGATCTACCACATTTTTTTCCAGATTCCACCACACAAATTTTTTTTCGAGTCCGATCACTGGTTGT